TTCCCTCAGTGCATCCTCGTTGAAGTTGGCCTTGAATTCTTGATCCACAAGCACCAACTTGGCCGTACTCGTCTTGATGGTATGTACAAGCGGCTTGCCCGTGAGGTTGTAGTTGATAAAGGCCGGGCTTGCGCCAATGCTCCAGAGGCCAAACCACACCCATATGAAGACGTCGGAGTTTATAAAGTCCATGGCAACAATATCGCCCTTCTCCACGCCCTTGCTCTTCAGCCATACTCCATAGCGGAGCACAACATCATACGCTTGCGCATATGTCCACGAATTTCCCTGGAAGATGATCCAAGTGTGGTTTGCTCGTGACGATTTAGCATGTGATTCGAGTTCGTAAAAGAGGTTCCAAGTGTCGCGTCGTTGGCGGACTGCACTATCGATGGAGCTGCGTACGAGGGCAGATAGCAGCGTCAGGTCGTAGGTGAAGCCATGGCGACCGTTAAGGTATGCGAGTCCAGCGGCGGCTGCGGGAAGCGCGAGCGGAAGAGCTGCGATGACAAGACCGATTAGCAGGTGGTTAGGGATGCAAGGTGATGTACGAAGTTAGATCGCGCTTACCTGACATGATTAGCGGTCAATAGGCAAAAAGTATACAGTAGCAAAAACACCGAGGTTCGATATCGCGATATCGGGTGTTGTGAGGAAGGGGCTCGCCAGCGCGACGTACGATTCAATCGCAGGACGCATCATGCCTTTCATCGTCGACTAGTGACGGTTGACCCCAGCTGAATAGTGGAGCTGAGAAGCAGCCGAGGCAAGTCGGTCGGGGACGCCCTGCTAATCCGTCGCGCAGGCCATAGACCATCCCTCTTCCGAGCTTCCCCTCATTGCCCTGGCCTGGGCAGCGTCTCACCCTGTTGATACAACGGCCTACGGCGCTCGCTTGCACTGTAAGCGGAAAGACAACGGTGCCCAAGATGATCTTGCGAACAGTTGGTAAGCATGACCTTGCGTGGACTCCCCTGACTCGGAACACCCACTTGACAGAGGCATGATCTGCTCGATGATGTGATGCCTTCGACCATGTTCGAACAAAAGCAAAAGAACAAGACGATGGTACATGTAACTGGGGTAAAGAGACACGTTTCGAGTGTGTGTCTTGTGACAGGCAAGAGCCTCGATTTGTCACCACCAAGCTCCGAAAGGACTATATACGATGTCACGTGCCAACGCGTTGAGTGAAGCATCCGGCCGACCGCGTGCCGGGTCCCGTACAGCCAAGGTTTGGGACAAGATCAAGCTTAGAGTGAAGAATGGATTACGATATACAAAAAATATCTAGCGACGTACGCGAGACCTATAGCTTTAAAGGGCAACTATATAGGCAATGATCTGTATCCAATTCCATCCTTCCCTCACCCCACCCATATCCCAAGGTATCCCCCAAGACTATGATTTGCGCCAAACAATCGCTCCAGAAAATGCTATTGGAGAAGTGAAGGTATAAAAACAAACAAACATAGCGCCATTGAACAAGAGTTTTACCAACAGCCTACCGACTTCGCGAATTGGTGATGTAGACATTACAGGAATGCGAAGCCCTGTCGTCAGACCTACCCCATAACAATAGGCCCACTCACTCTCGTCTACCGTACGGCCTCACCTTCCGTCTTTGGCGTATCTAGCTCTGCAGCTGGAGCCTCTACCTCTGGCACTGGACTAGGTGCCTTTACCGGTTCGTGCGACGTCTCATCAGCGGGGGCTTCTTCAGCTACCTGTTCAGTAGTCTCAGACTCCTTTGGGGCTTCTTCTTCCGCCTTGTGCTCTTCCTTGTGCTCCTCCTTGTGCTCCTCATCGCCATGGCCGTTGGTGACAGCTGCCTTGGCCTTGGATGCGACATCTTCAACCTTGGAGGCAACTTCCTCCGCCTTCTTCTTTCCTTTTTGTAGGGTACTAGGCTTTGAGGCGCCGGGGGCTTTGTGTGGTGGAGAAGCAGGCTTCTCATGAGTCTTGCTGGAGCTAGCTGCAGTTGGGCGCATCATACGCTCAAGGAAACCGCCCTTGGGTGCGGTGCTTGTGGTCGAGGTACGGGACTCCGGTCGCTTTGGTGCACTGGGTCCAACTGAAGGACGAGGGGCCTTGGTGGTGGTGGCGGGCTTGGGTGGAGCGCGTGTGGTAGTGGCAGGTTTCTTTGCAACCTTGGGTTCTTCGCCATGCTTCGCAGCAGAGGCCGCAGTAGGTGCGGTCAAACGGGAAGGCAGACCGACGGGGCGTGTGGGCGATTTGGGTGCTGGCTTCTTGAAGCCGGTTGGTGAGACGCTAGACTGAGGTCAGAGCTATGAACTGTGTGGGATTCAATTGTACATACCTTTTACGGAGAGCAGGAGGGGCGGGCTTGGAAGCGGCAGGCTTCTTGGTCTCTGTAGATGCTGCTGCTGGCTTAGTCTTGGATGCAGCGCTGGCAGTAGGTGCAGTAGCTGAGGATGCCGCTGGGCGTAGGGAAGAGCGGCTCGTCTTGGTAGTAGGGGTCTTAGCAGCCGGGGCCTTTGCAGCAGGAGCAGGAGCCTTTGTAGCAGGGGCTTTAGCGGCCTCCTTAGGGGCTGCCGGCTTGGATACCTTTGCTGGACTGGGCTTGGGCGCTGGTGTGGCCGACTTGGTCTTCGGGGGAGTCTTGGGTGCTGCTTTTGGGAGAGGGCTCTTTGGGAGAGGGCTCTTTGCGGATGCGGGTAGCGCCTTGGAGGCCTTAGCAGTAGAGATTGTCGAGGGCTTCTTGACATCTAGCTTCTTAGCTGCAGGAGTTCCATTGGTCTTTGCCTTGCTGTCAGCGGGCTTGGAAGTCTCCGCTGCTGGAGCCTCATCAGACGCAGGGGCCGCCTCCTCGGTGATAGTGGGCACATCCGTGGAAGATGCAGTCTCAGTCTTGTCTGAGGTTTCGGCGGGCTGAGCGTCAGCTTGAGGCTCTTCTTTGGTAACAGCAGGCTCCTCAGCAGTTGCAGTCTTCTCCTCTGCGATAGCAGCTTCTGCAACAGCTGCCTCCTCTTTGATGGCGGCTTCCTCAATGGCAGCTTCCTCCGCGGCAGGAATGCTTTCCTCAAATACAGCTTCATCTTGTGCAGGTGTGTCGTGTTCCACAGCAGCTTCGTCCGTGGGGGCTGCCGGCCTCAGTGCGAGATCTTCCTGGGCGCCCGTGGTAGGCTTGTCCGGATTTTCAGCGGGCTGAGCGGGAATCTGTTGTGGGGATGGCATTGGGGAGATTTCGGCGTCGTCAACGGCGTTTTCTTCGGGTTGGGTTGGTGTCTGCTCAGCCTGGGGCTCAGAAGCTTCTGCAAGGTCGGAGGCCCTAGGCATGTCGGTGGATTCTTTTTCCTCTGCCTTTCGGTCAAGAGGAGCCGATAGCGAGGATTCTCTTGATGCGACGGCCTGCTCGGGAACAGCCTCGGGGATAGCCAGGCTCTTGGCGCGCTCTTCCTTCTCGTCGCTGACAATCTTCTTGAGATCAGCGAGCTCCTCGGGCCTGTCCTCGCTGATGCTGAAGCTCTCGCGGCGGTGTGCAACGGTGCTGTTGGACGGGGTGCCCTTTGTCTGGCCGAGGTCGGTGGGCGTGTAGGCGCTCGTAGGAGGGAGCGAAGGCTCGACGGGGACAAAGGAGGCGCGCACCTTTGACCTGGGGCGGTCGTCGTTGTCTCCTGGGGCGGAATGGTCTACTGGGGAGCGACCGCGGGGCTCGGGTGAGGCAGCGGCGTTGGAGTTTTCGAACATGGCGCGCAGATTGCGCACGCCGTTGGACATGCTGAGAGACGACGAAGCAATCGTCAATTTGCAATCGGCTGTGTGGTGTCGAGGAGCGCAGTCGCCGTAATGTAAGTTAAGTAATATGGGATACGTGTGAGAAGTCGGTGGTCCGCGCCTGAAACCCGGGCAATTTGTTTATGTACAAGCAGTGACGACTTGGTGGCAGGGATGCGTGGAGCGTCCCACAAGAACGCAACGCTTACAACAGACAGCAGAGGGTTTCAATTGATGATTCAAGTAACAGGATTTTGTTTTGGACAGACGAGCAGTGCGGTGATGGTAGATGAACCCCTGGGGAAGCTGGTACAGCAAGGAGTCCAAGGTGCTGTCCGGAGTAACCATAACGACTGCACCAGCTCCTAAACGGGCCTAGCGCCTGTGACGTCTGGCCTCGCTCTGGCCCTCGCCACGGGCTTCATAGCACAAAACGCCCGATGCACATACACACTCACCCTCACTGTCATCTAACCATTAGACCCCTCGGCACGCCCAATTCACCCTGAAATTACCTCACCACACTCCCTTTTGCAGACTCCCCTGCACAGCTTCGTTGGCCATGCACATGCGACTCGACTGGCGCCCTTCCTCAAACCACGCACCAGTCTCGTGCAAACACGGTAGCATCTTTCTGGAGCACTCGACGCATGACGTGTATTAATAGCTCTCCTCGTCGTGTTCCAGCCTTACAGGGACACAAGGGACGACCATTGTACTAGTATGCACATACGTAGTAAACTCCCACGCGACAGTCAGGGATAAAGATGCTCGAGTCAGGCCAATCACGTCGCTTCTGCGCATGAATCCCTCGCAATCTCCTCGGGCTCGGCCAATCAAGAGCATCCATCGCCGGTATGTTCACTGCCTCACGTGAGCCCCCTGATCGCTTGGATAGCTCTTTGTCCTATGGATATTGCGTGTGACATGTGTCGAGTCTTTCACAATTGCCAAAAGCTTTGTGGAAATGTTTCTTTCCTTCGGCAGGACAGAAATAGTATCCGGCTTGGCTCGCTTCTGGATAATTCAAACGGGGGTTCCCCTTTCAATATGCTGGTGGTGACATTATCCCGTTCTGCATGTGACAGGCAGCCGGAACCTTTTGGACTAGAATTGCCCAACACGAGATGTGTTCAGAACTTTGTGAATTATCGGACCGGAATAGCACTCATTCAATATCGGTAACTTGATTAACTATTAACTAATAAAGTCATTCGTTATAGGAAAGGCCTCACTCATGTCGTTAGAGCAAAGAGAACCCCTCAGACAGGGCTCGTCTGATCTCCCTGGCAACGTCCCGTAGCCGTACCGCACCTCAGATGCAAGTCATCCGAAGACCCACCAATCCAAACCCCATAGTCACCACTCACAGCAGGGACAACCCAATTTTGCTCAACAACATCCCACACGCTAAGGTCCTTCCTTGTCAGTCGCATCTTCAACGTCTGGCTAGCTCCAGCCGCAAGGGTAGACGTCTTTGCAAAGTCTCGGAGCTGGATGATGGGTGTGTCGACCGTGCTCTCGCTGGGGAACTGCAAGTAGAGTTGTGCAACAGCCTTGCCGCTACGGCTGCCGGTGTTGGTTACCTTTACAGCAACATCGTATGCCACATCGAAAAGCGCGGGGTTACCACCTTGTGCGCCACCTGCTGCAGGTCCGGGCTTCTGCTCATTGGAGTATCCCGCAGGATAGGGGTATGTCGAAGGAGAAGCTCCTACCTGCGCAGCAGCATCGGCGTCGTTCTTGTCAAGCCACGAATACAAGTAGCGCCAAATGCGGTTAAAGTTCGCAGGCCAGTATGCCTCAGAAGCAGGCGGGATCGCGGTCGAGTATGACGGTGTTGTGCCCTTTGCTGGTCGTGCTGGTGGGGTTCTGGTGAGTGGCGTCACAGGGGTGATTGTGGCGTCGGAAAAGGAGAAGGTCGTGTAGCTGAGTCCGTAGCCAAAGGCATAGCGGGGTGTGATGTTGGCCTTGTGGAAGTGACGGTAGTCAATGTACAGACCCTCTGTAAACGTGTCTTGAGGCTGACCCAGTTGGTATCCAACAAGCTTTACAGAGTTGCCAAAGTCGTCCTCGGCATTGGGCAGGGTGTAAGGCAAATGACCAGAGGGAGAGACATCGCCGTACAGCACCTGCATCAGAGAGTTTCCTGCTTCTTGGCCGGGCAAATGAGCGAATACGATTGCCTTGACTGAAGGAAGGTCATGCCATTCGTTCATAAGGATGACGCCGACAGTGTGCACAACAACGACGACATTCGAGTACTGAGCAGCAACATCCTTGATCAGTTTGTCGCCATTGTGCCATAGGTTCAGGTTGGCAGAAGTTCGGTCTCCTGGGTTGCCCTCAACCGTGATATAGTTTTCTCCCGAGTCGGCAGTCACAAAGACAACAGCAGTGTCGTTTGGAGACGGGTTCGAGTTGCCCGGGAAGTTGTCGGTGTTGAAGAACTGGTAGTTTGCACCGCGAGCCTTGAAGCCATCAATGGGCGAGTCCATGTATGGGTAGCGGGCGCTGCCGCTTCCCCAGCCCATTCCCAAGGTACCCTTGTTGCAACCCTGATCAGCGCACGAGTTGATACCATCTGGGTTCTTCTCGGCATCTGTTCCAAAGATCTTAAGTGGGGCACTCGCGGCCAGAGGAAGAATGTTGTCCTGGTTCTTCAACAAGGTAATGGCATCACGAGCTACCTCACGCGCAACCTCGGCGTGATTGCCCTGGACATCAACAAATTCGTTTACCACACCCGAAGGCGAGATGAGTGCACCAGGGTAGAGCGGACCCTCGGCATTCTGGGTGTTGGTGTCAAAGTTGGGCCTTGGATAATTTTGGTCCTGGCCCATCTGGAAGTACGTGGCCAAGATGCGTGTCACGGCATCGTTGACACGGTCCACCGGAACCGAGCCGTTCAGTACCGAGCGGGTCTGTTCGTACATCCAGTAAGAGTTTCCGAGAACAAGAGGAATGTCATTGCGATCGCCAGGCATGGACATGTCCAGACCAGCGAGGGTTGAGCTGACGCCCGAGATTTGAGATAGCCAGTCAGACATGACGAAACCTTGGAAGCCGAGCTCATCCTTCAGGAGACCGTTGATCATGTAGCTGTTTTGCGCGCATGCGCTTCCGTTGACAGCATTGTAGGCGATCATTACTGAGCCAACGCCGGAACGTACACCTGCATTGATGTTAGCTGTGATGTGCTTTGGCTTGCAACTTTCCATCCATTCCAGTAGTGTGAAGAGACACACGTATACTGGCGATTAAAGGAACTGGTTCAACCTACCTTCTGCAAAGGGCCAGAGGTAAAGCTCGTGGAGAGTGCGATCATCAACATTTGAGGAAATGCCCGGCTTAACAATATTCCACATGCGATACATTTCCTGCTCGTTCGCAATCAAATGCTTGATTGTAGCAATGACGCCAGTGCTCTGAATACCTTCTACAGACAGAGCACCTCCAAAGGCCTGAAGAACCGGGTCGGAGCCAAAACCCTCCCAATCTGTAACAATTGTAAGTAATCTGCCTCTCAAATATGTATTGTTCCGGATACATACTTCTGCCACCTCGCGGCTTGCGTCCAAGAGGTCCTACACTTGGTCCCAAATGGATGTTGACTCCCTTTCCGCGGAATTCCTCTCCAATAGCGACCGCACGTCGGTAAATGAGATCCTTGTCCCAGGTCGCTCCAACGGTGATGCCTGCCGGGAAAGCAGTGTTGTGGTCGGTATTTCTCACACCCAACGGACCATCTTGCAAGCAAAGCTGTGGAATGCCTACTCTCAAGGCACTACCAGTGTTACCCACGCAGCGGCCCATGAAGATTCCCGTTCCAGCTGTGAGATTGGTTTTCTCAGCAAGCGTCATGTTGGAAACAAGAAGAGAAGCCTTTCGGTAGCTCTCTGCCCAGTCCGACACCCATCCTCCATGGGGAGCTTTTGGCGGAATGTTAGCATGTACTACCAAACGACTTGCAGATTTGAAAGCGTGTTCGCACACATACCAGGATAGTATGGCGGCGCAACATAGCCAGCAGGCACAGGATCACGCTGCTGAATAGCAGCGCCAGCCGCGAGTCCGGAGAGAGACAAGAAGAGAAGGGAGGCCATGATTCCAAGACCGACGTCTGGCAATAAAAATAAGGTATCCCCTCAACCCAAACTGTTCACTGGAATCCCTCCAAACATTTCTAAACGGAGGGCGCGAAAGCCACCCATATACATAGTCCCTCCCCTCTCCCTCTCCCTCTCCCCTTACCCATGACGCAAACCCCGCAAGAGCCTGCCATTGCCTGCCTGTGTGACCACCGCGCCCCCCTCCCATTCCCCAAAACAGAAAGCACAATCGCGCTAGCAAGTAAAGTAATTAGCACATTGGGAAATGGTGATGAGCAAACTACCATCCCAGCTGACGTCCGGACAGAACGTTTGTAGACATATGCCCGAAGGCAGGATTATTATCTGCGTTTTGCGCGACTGGGGGGTTGACGGCCCCGAGATTGGGGCGCGCTGGCTTGCTGCAGCGGGTTGCGCCCGTCCGGATAATGATCGGCTTGTTTTTTTTAAGCAAACGGGACGCAGGTACAGGGGTTACGAAAACGGCGTTGCGATCTCTAGGTAGAAGAGCGAGAAAGCAAAAAAAGCAAAACTAATAGGTGGTGGAGTTGGATGTTGCAGCGAATGAAATATCACGAGTTAGATATTTGTCGTTGGAGCTACGTAGATAGAGTTCGTAGGCGTGTATGTGTATAGTACGCGGATTGCTTAGTTTCGTAGCTGAACAAGGGACAACAAAAAAAAGGTCTCCTGAGCTGAAAAGGTAGTACGTAGTAACAAAACTCGCGGGCTCGGATCAAACGGGATCATCGCGTATTGACCGAGTCGTTTTGCGATGATTGATCGCACGACATAAGCAATCGCCAGGTCCCTTGCTTTTTTGGGGTGAGGGGCCCGACCGCCATATCCCAAACTCATGCAACTCGACAAACATCGAACGTTGTTTGGTGGATCGATAACTTATTCCACCGCCCGCCGCGGCGCCACGGCGGCCTCCTCCCCATACAGATACATAACCATATAACCTGCCCAGCCTCCTCCCGATATATGTAACTACTCTTTTTCCAGCTGCGGTGCTTCCCACACCCCCGTCACTTTGCATGTGCATCTACCTACTAAGCAAGTATACGCACACTACATGCGCCGAGCCCGGACCGGGGGAGACCCCAGCAAAATTCCGTTTTGCCCGACCTATCGATCGGCAAAAAGGGCCAATTTTGCGGGGGTTCCAAAGCACCATATACTAACAATGCTAACACACGGGATGGTGCCCCGCGAGTAAGAAAACCGCCGTTAACGTGACATGTGTGTCAAAGTAGGGTACTAGGGATGCGTTGGTGATCGATAAAGTGATGGACAGGTACCAAAACTCGGTTCCGTCTTTTGACAACACCGACGAGATAAGACTAGTTTCAAGCCCTTTTCCCATGTGAAGAGCGTTTTCTTACTTATTACCCGTTTTCTGTCAGAGCGGGTGCATCCCCCCCCAGCCACGCCGGTTTTGTATGCTTGGTCCGGTACTTATGTAGTGTGTACTGTGTAGTGTGCTGTCGGTCGAGTGTAGCGATGCGCATGACTTTGTTTTCGCGTTTTTTCAATGAGTCGTATATTATGCGTGGGGAAGGGGTACGTGGTTGTTTTGGGACTGTGAGTATCGAAAGAGGGCTTAGCGGTGGGTGCGCTAACCTGGTTGCTGGCGCCGAGTTGGGTGTGTATAGTAGGTGGGCGTGGGCTATTTGGTGTGTGGGTGGTTACACGGCAGTGGGCGTGCAGTACCTTGCTGCGGAAGCAGGAACCGAGGATGTTTGGGGGGGTTGTGGCTGTCACGAGATAGGATGGGGGGATTTTACTTGTCTACACACCGTGACGTCTGGTCATGCTACAGACATGCAATTTGGGTTTCTTCGGATGTTGCGAGGGTAGGCTTGTATCTCCTTGGCGTATTTTCTACATGCGCAATGGCTTTTCACTTCATTCACATGCCAATTGTATCGAATGCATCCATTGGCAAGTAGCTTGGTCTGGCAGAGCCACGGAAAGATAGATAGCTACGGATAATCGGTAGCCCTAACGGTGGGCATGACAAGCAAGCCAAGTCCAGATATCAATACCCCCGTCTGAGTTTGGCATCCCTGTACATATCTCAATAATATGGAGCTGAATTGGCAGGTGCGACGGACTTCAACCATGTTCGCATCTGCTGCCACGTGAGCATCGAGTATCACGTCGATCTTCGCCTCTCGCGGTACGGCATACACAATGACAGCCAATGGCGCAAGTACTACAACTGACTAGAGAAGCCAAGAAAATATCATTGAATGCCTTCACACATGTCAAAACACATAAGGGTCCTATTTGAGAATCGTGATCTGTTTGGATGGAACCGGATTACACTACAGTGAGCCCGCTCATGCCATCCGTCCATGCCATGCTGGTGCTTTCACCTCATAAATATTCTGCAGAATAGAGACTGCAGCCATACCGATATATGCCATTCCACCACGTACGCCATGAAATGAATCCTATCATCTAGAAACGCCTAGGATTAAAAGCAAGAAACCATCGCAATGAGGGCTAACGCTGTAGCTCTCCTTTTTGGTACATGTGAACTCCCCCATGCATGCCCCCCCTTGTAAGGATATGAAAGACCCCGAGATGATGAGCGGTCTGAGACGCGCGAAGATGCCGACCTCCTATTCGAGATTTCGACTGCCGAAGAAGCGCGAAAAGTACAAAGACAAAATGAGCGACATTGGTAAGGTTTGGTAGTGCTTTGAAGTAAGCACTAAAGGACTGGTGGATGTGCTTCTAATGTACAAGCTGTATGGCCAATTTGATGTGTGTAGGCCCGGTCAAATTTGTGTGATGTCATCAAATATGGGAAGGGTGACATCTTCATCGGCTCCAAGACGAAATGCATCGTAATCGATCAAGTTTGGCATGTTTGTAGTAAAGTCGTCGATGTTCATGAAAGAAACGTCGCCAGGAAGACTGCAATCGTTGAACAAGTGTGCATTGTCAAGATGACCCGCATCGTCTTGGATAGTGGGAATCTGGTCGGACAGCAGGGTGGTGAGTCCATCATAGAATTGATTAGGGGATTGATTGAGAACGGGAGCAGTAGTAGAGTAGCAGTCAGGCACATGATTGTCCACAGGAGCAGGGTCGAGCTGGTGGGCGATGAGGATGTCTTGGTCAAGACTCGCTCTATAGCTCGCATTCCTGACTGCCTGCCGCTTGGCTCTGCGTTTGTTACGTACAAGAAAGCGAGCATGAGCTGCCTTGGAAGTAGCTTGTGTGGCTGAGATGGCAGAGGTGTTCTTCTCAAGGGTCGAGCTGACGGAGTGTCCAAGGAATGTCGAGGAAGGCTTATTGTCGTCGAGAATGAAGCCATGAGCATATCCCAATGACTGGACGTATGTAATGATGTCCTCGACAGAAAGTGTCATATCCGTATTTCCTGTGCCGATAGATGCGAATTCGGAATCAGCGCTTCGGGATATGGTTGGATCTCCCTCTTCATTAACATTCAGGATCCATCCATGAATTTCGAGATATGAAGCAGGATCAGGTAATTTGAGGTGAGGGCAGATAATGCGGAAAAACTGGTTAAGTGGGGCTTGATCTTTGCCGATTTGGTCACGGATAGTTGACCAGGCCTTCGCCATCAAAGACCAAAGTGATTTGTTTGGATCCGCCTCCCATAGGAGTCCAATCAAGTTGGAAAGCTTTTTCATAGGCCATGGCTTAAACATTGGAATCGTGATGTAGTAGCCTGAAAACTTGAATGAGCTTATAGCATGTAAAGCAGTGTAAATGAGACTTACAGCGGAATCCAACGAACGCATTGAGAGCCTTTCTCGCTTTCTCTGGAGTGGCAGGCTGACCACTCACAGCTGGGGATGCCACCAGCAGCTTAGCCGTAAAGGCAGCCTGGGCAGCTGGTTCTTTGATGCAACGCATCAATTGTACCATTTGAGCACCAGTACGTGTGGCGATAAACTTCGCAATCTCAGCACCAGTTGGGTCCCTTGCGAGGTCCATAGCGTATGTTGACTTGTAGTTTCTTTGTTGAAGGAATGCCGTGGCGAAAAGTCAATCAAAAGCCTCTGTCAAGACTCAGAGCAAGAAATAGCTTCAAATTTCTGAATAAAGTGTGGTTTGGTAATCTCAGAAAACAAAAAGTGAGGTTTGAAACAAAACAAGTCACTCAGGTGCGTCACCACCGCCAAGCTTCAGCAGGCAGTCACTAAGAAAAAAAAGGTGTGGCTAAGCCTGGTGATAGCAAACAGTCAGCGCAAAGCTCATCACTCACCGTCAAAACTCGCTTTTGCTTACCTCACTAATACTCAAGGTCGAGGTTTCGTGTATCGTAAGGAGGGGGTTACGTCATTCATCTGCGGTTTGCCGTCTGAGGCAGCAGTCGGCTGTAAGGGGGCGCAGGCGAAACACGCGGGGATGAATGTTAGATAGACGACGGTGAGAGCGAGTAGGCAGGTAGACTGTGGTGCCTGATGCGTGAAGTGCCATTGATGCTGGAGTCACGGGGTGACTAGGTCAGCATAAGGTAAAGCTCGGTAGTTGCTAGGAATGAACAAGCAAGACGTCAACTCACCTTTACTTGCACAAATGGCGGTTTTGAGAGATTGCCTAGTAGTCCTAAATGTGCATTGCTGTGTTTGTCGGGAAGAAAAAGAGCAAGTGACAAGGGGCTGCAAGACCGAAAGTCGTTTGGCTTTTTGACCGCGACTTGATATATGAGACAAAGGAAATAGCCTGACGCCACACGCGGATGAGAACTAAGACAAATGGATGTGATTTGGCGCTACGCGTGCCACAAACCACCGTGGTTCAGGAAGGTACCCCCTTGCATAAGAGACATCTGTAGCGAGACTACAGGGCATTTCGCCACCCTATTTGTCAAACGCACATGGGCTCCGAGGAAACATGGCATTGGTCGTCGAACTTCGATCTGTCTGATTCTGTGAATGTAAGAGGAATCAGACTCTGTCGATCTACTGTACTTTTGGATGTGCATGGTGAAGGAACTACGTTTTCCAGGGACTTTGCATATGCATGTCTTACAAGGGTATTTGGTGCGAGTGTCCAGCTGCTTTCATACAAATGATAACATAGCTTTTGAATACACAACATATAAAACCGCTCACCTGGTGTGAAATAAGGGACTCAATCTGCCGTTCCATTGGGTAGAGTACCTTGGGTGCCTTCTGACAATCTCCAATCTCGCACTTGGCCTTTCCAGTCTGCAATTCGTCCGTCGCGGATCTTTACAATGACAACCCTGACTTCTTCTCCGTCCAGATAGCATTGGGCCCCTGCATTACCCTCTCTTGGCGCATCTCCACTTGCAGCTCCGTTGCCTAGCCCGCCGCTACCCCACAAGCCCTGCCCGCCTGGTGAAGTCGAATAGATATCCTCGGTGCCATCGCTAAAGGTGTTGTTTGCCACATGTTGAGCCTTGTACCATGTCTCTTCCTCCGACCCAGAGGGAACCATCTGAGCAACGCCATTGATAGTAGTGCTGATTCGACTCAATGAGGCTGTGTTCATGCCGAGAAGAAGCTCGGCCAGTGATCCAGACCGGGGTGCTGGGCGGGTTGGCGAAGGGGAGCGACCTGGCTGACTTAGAGTGGGTGGCCGATGGGATATCCAATCGTGCACCAATAGAGACACAAGCGAGTTTGATTCCAGGTTCTGAGTCTTGCGGGATGATGCAGGTGTTGTCATGATGATGATTGGACTTGAAGAGTAAGGCGTGTTAGGTAGATATGTGTAGTTCATAAGGGAAACATGAGGAATGTTTTCCGAGCATGTTGCAAGATGAAGCTGTAGCATCTGTCAGAATCTTGCACAAGACCGGAGAGCAGCGATGTCCATTGGAACACGTGACATGAAGATGGGAATAACCAAAGATAGGACCGTAATGACAAGAGATTGCCGAGGAGGATCGATAAGGGAAATGCAAGACAAGACTGCTGACAGGAAGGATAACTCACAAAGCGGGCATTCTGGAGGCATGTTACGACCTCTTCGGGTAAGCTGTTGGACATGCTGGACATTGATACGAGGTGCAATATTGCCCAAGACGAGAGAGAAAGGGGCACGGTCCCGCAAGATAGTCAGAGAATGGCTGCGCGACGCGGGTGATGCTTGGGTCACGGGCTGTGTTTGGTGGGTGGGATGCGACAGGAACCGGGCGGCGGAACGATGACGTTGGAACAGTCCGTGCCATGTCTCCGCCTGATAGGTTGCGCGTCCCCCAAGATGGCCGCTGGCATATTATATGTAACCACCATGGTATCTGAACCCGCAATGAACGCCCCACCTACACTTGCGCCCGTGGACATGACGGAACCCTTCAACCCGGACTTCAACAGCGCATCCGACCCCGCAAAGGACGGCGCCCTCGGATCCCCAATACAAGAGGCTGCTCCCACAACGTCGGAACAGCGGAGTACTACCCAGGATGCGCATACCCAGCAGCGGGTCCATGAGATCCTACATTCAGACGTGGGCGTCGCGACCCTGCTAAATCGCCTCAAAGCCAGCATTTCAAGTGCTAGGGTCAGTGGGCGCCAACTTTGACTATGCAGCCCAACCCGCTCACATACGTGGTAGGACTTTGCGGGCTTTCTGAAGCGCCGGGGCGCCCTCGAGGAGGAACATGCGAGCACCTTGAAGAAACTCAGCCGGGGGACACTCGACGGCGTGCGTAAACCCGATTCACGACATGAGAGCTATCAGACTCAATTCGAGCAAGTCCTCCACGCCAACGAGCGCATCGCCGACAATGGCACCCAGTTTGGGCTCGCCCTGCATGCCATGCACGAGAACCTCCTGCAGCTAGCCAACAAGATGGATGGAAACCGCAAGACGTGGAAGCAGCAGGGACTGTCTGCTGAGAACAAGGTGCAGGAGGCCGAACGGCTGGCTGAGAAGGCTAAGGCCAAATACGACCAGCTGGCCGAAGATCTCGACCGCGTCAAGACGGGCGACACAGGGGCGGGCAGGAAGTTTGGTCTGAAAGGACCCAAGTCAGCAGCCCAGCATGAAGAGGATCTTCAACGTAAGACCCAGGCAGCGGACCAGGACTACGCCAGCAAGGTGCAGACGGCTCAGGCCCTACGCAAGGAGCTTATAGCCACTACGCGGCCTCAGGCTGTCTCTGCACTACTAGACCTGATCAAGGAAACAGATGCTGCCCTTACCATGGAAATGCAGAAGTTTGGTAAGTATCTCGTCTCTGAAATTGAGACCCAACTGACACCGTGCCAGCCTCATTCAACGAGAAACTCGTGGTTAACAACGGCCAAGTTGTAACACCCCAGCCGCTCAAGGGCAGCACCGCTCACCCCCCTCCCAGCATCAATCAGCTCATTTACCAGATCAACAATGAGCGAGACTTTGAGGAGTTTGTCTTGAGCCAAGGATCCAAAGCGCCTCTTTCCAGAGCGGAGCTTCAATATGTCAAGCATCCGACCCAGAACCAGGGACGATCTCATCCAACCCCGCCAGCTGGAAATGGCCGTCCTTCAATGCAGCTGCAGAGCCAACCCCCGCCGACCTTCTCGACGCCGCAGCCAGACCCCCACCCTACTTCGCCCTTGCAGCAGAGCTCTTCGCATGTCGAGTCTTCACAGCCGCCTTCATTCGGGACGCACTCGCAGCAGCAGCCACCTCCTTCGTTGCAGCTGCAGCACCACCAACCACAACCGCCTCAGCCAGCACCATACCCAACCAACGCTCCCTATTCACCTACATCCCAGGCTCCTTACCCACAACCGGACTATCCGCGTGGCCCGGTTGGTCAGGCCACAGCACAGCAGACTAGTGGTGTGCTATACCACTCTGGTCAACCTCCTATCAACCCCATCTTTGGTATCACTCTAGAAGAACTGTTCCGGCGAGACGGCTCTCCTGTGCCGATAATAGTCTACCAATGCATTCAGGCCGTCGATCTCTACGGCTTGGAGGTCGAGGGTATCTACCGCATTCCGGGAACCTCGTCACATATCCAGCAGATGAAGGCTTTGTTCGACAGTGGTACGTAGTATAAATGATACACATCAGCGGTTCAACTAACGCAGGGCAGATGCCTCTCAGGTCGATTTCCGCAATCCCGAGTCCTTCCAGCACGATGTCAACAGTGTTGCAGGATTGTTGAAACAGTTCTTCCGCGAGTTGCCTGATCCGCTCCTCACGCGCGAATTCTATGGCAAGTACATTGAGGCTGCGCGTATTGACGATGATACAATGCGCCGAGACTCGATGCATGCTCTGATCAACGCCCTGCCTGATCCGAACTACGCAACGCTGCGTGCTCTTGCCCTGCATCTGCATCGGGTCCAACAATCTTCAGAGATCAACCGCATGAGCACTGCCAACTTGGCCATTTGTTGGGCGTAAGTAAAGACGTACTGAGTACTTGCAGCGCCAGCTAATCATGTACAGACCCTCAATCATGGGCCCCCATAAAGGCAACAACATGGCCGATGCTGGACTTCAAGCCCGCGTGATTATCACCATCCTAGACAATGTGCTTCAGATATTCGACGAGGACTAGACGAGTCGGAAATGTTGGATATGTCACAAATCTCTTCGAGGAGAAATGTTCAATTTGTGCAGGTGACACTGCTTGTGCAGAGTGGTACTCGGCGGCGATCTGCCATCTTTTGCCTTGCAGATGGCTTTATTCCGTAAGCATGGGGCAGTATGGCTGTGCTGTATCAGGGGCATATGACGCGTCGTGTCGAGTTGTATTTGGGCGATAAGGAATATGGGGTATTGGTGGGCAGTGGTAGATATCCATAGTGTGACAGGAGAGGACAGTGCCACTGGGCTGGAAGAAGGCTCGTGCTTGGAGATGGGCCTGACATGGTTTGAATATGAACAGCCACAATGGCCAATATCAATATATGCGAGTCAATTGACCGAGCGATGAAAAGTGCGCTGCTGCCGAACGAGGATTACATAGATGGCTGAAGGAATCAAGTGGAGACGTATGTCGTCGATACATGCGTAGTGGGGCAGACTTACCCCAGTGCCCCGGGCACGCTAGCTGGGTTGACGGGGGGGAGCTGGGGGGTAATATGTAGGTGAGGGGAAGCTCTAAGTCGCCCGGGGTCCCAAGTACGCCCACGCTGCTTCACCCACCCACACACTTGCTGACATCAACGATTTCTCCGTTGGTTCCCCTCTTGGCCTCCTTCTCTACCTTCAACACCATGCTTTCACGTCGTGCTTGTGCCAGCGTGCGTGGCAGGCTAATCCCACAACCAATTGCCACTGTCCGCACGCGAGCTTTTGGTGCTACAACTGCGGCGCAGAGCCCTGCGCGAGCTCCCGCACTTGCCGACATCACGCCAGACAGTGCGGCGAGTTTTAACGAGAAGCAAAAGAAGTTCCGCGATGGCCTAGTAGCAGCCCAGAAGCGAAAGGAGCAGGAGGAGAGTACGTCATAATAACCCCAGCAGCAAACCGACCTTCAAGAACGCTGACATGAGCCATTGCAGAAGAGGCTCGCGCTCGTGAGCATGAGAATGCCAAAAAGAAGGGCGGTGCATTATCGTCCCTCATCTACGGCACACCCGAAGGTCGCGAGCTTGACAAGGACATTGAGCGCAGTTTCTCGCAGGTCCTAGCCCGCGGCAAGTACGTTCATTCGATCGTCTTCCACGAAGTCAAGCAGGAAAACGTTGAAGAGTACACCGAGTTGGTTGGCGGCTGGTATCCCAAGATGGCCTCGATCCCCGAGAACAAGGTCCATCTGGTAGGTAGCTGGAGAACTGAAGTTGGCGACTGCAACACCTTTGGTAAGCTCTCGAGTCTCCGCCATAGCTTGTCTCGTTCCTCTGCTGATCACACTACACAGTGCACATCTGGGAATACCAGCGCTACGAAGGATACCACGAGTCGCTACACAATATCCAGTCGCATCCCGAATTCCCCGCCTTCGATGCCAAGCTCAAGAAGTTGATCTCCGGCAAGCGCAATTCCCTTATGCAAGAGTTCTCTTTCTGGCCAACTACACCACCACGCCAGCTTGGTGGCATCTTCGAACTACGCTCGTATACACTACACCCAGGCAACCTGCTAGAGTGGGAGACACACTGGCGACGTGGGTTGAAGGCCCGACGAGAGGTCATGGAAGGTGTAGGTGCTTGGTTCGTTCAAATCGGCGACCTCAACACAGTGCATCATCTATGGCAGTTTGCCAACCTCGAGGAACGCAAGATCCGTCGTGAACAGAGCTGGAGCGTGGAAGGGTGGGGCGAGACGGTGCACAAGACGGTACCACTCATTCAAACCATGAAGAGCAGCATCCTCATTCCCTGCTCCTGGAGTCCTGTGGCTTGAGCTGCACCCAATGGAAGCAGAACATGACTCGAATTTAGCATTCTACGGGACGAGAATGCAATACTTGTGCACAAGCCAGACCCCTGCTCCCCCAGACCGAACACCACTCATCACTGGGCTTCAGAAGTATAGAAGCCTGCTTGGTACATGAACTTATCAAAGCATCACTCAATCGCAGGATTGAGGGGCGGTGTTAGCTCGGTTTAACTTTGCAATATTATGGTTTGATACAATGTATTTATTGAAAGCATACTTTAGTCACCATGCTGGCCATTTTGAATCCAGAACAAGGTTTGCGAGAGTAACGTCTGTCAGTCGCCCAGTGTTTGCCCACGTGTTCGCGCGAGTGCAAGCGTGGCAGGTAAAACAAAGCAGGCCAGAGCGGCGGGGTACGTCATACGATATAACCCCACGCTCGGGCCTCTTCTCCCACGCACACACCGACGCAAAGTTTACTCTCCTCGCTGCGACAACACGACAACAATTGCTAATACCGTCTTGGTTCAGGAGGACTCGCTCTGCAATGGTGTACATTCGACAGGACAAGCTGCCCAAGCTCAAAGAGTACAAGTACTCTGGTGTGGATCACAGTCTTCTCTCGCAATATGTGCTGAAGCCCTTCTACACCCATGTCGTCATCAAATGTTTTCCCATGTGGATGGCGTAAGTGCTGTCACATATCGACCATTTGCACTGCTAACCGTGTCCAGGCCGAATCTTGTAAGTATGATGTTTTCGGGACCCTGATCCGCTCTACAAGCAGCCAGTTGAACCCCACCTTGACCGCAAATATTTGGATGAGCACTAACACGGCTGCACAGATCACGTTGACTGGATTCAGCTTCGTTGTTATCAACTTCCTTACTATGCTATGGTATACACCGACGCTTGATCAAGACTGTCCACCATGGGTGTACCTCAGCTGGGCTATTGGCCTTTTCCTGTATCAGACATTTGATGCTGTCGATGGAAGCCAAGCCCGCAGAACTCGCCAGAGTGGTCCCCTTGGTGAATTGTTTGATCATGGAGTTGATGCGATAAACACGACATTGGAGGTGCTGCTATTCTCTGCAGTCATGAATCTCGGCCAAGGATGGAAGACAGTCCTTACACTTTTTGCCTGTCAGTGACATGTGACCTGGCGGATAGAAGTTCACCTACTGACCAGCGCAGCATCATTGACATTCTATGTCCAGACTTGGGACGAATACCACACGCATACATTGACGCTTGGTATTATTTCAGGGCCAGTCGAAGGTATTGTCATACTGTGCATTGTGTACGCCTTGACAGCCTTTCTTGGCGGTGGTAGCTTCTGGCAACGCCCCATGCTTGCGACTTTGGGCATCAAACAATTCGACTTTATCCCGGATGTACTGTACAATATGGCATGGAATGAATGGTACATGGTTCAAGGAGGGTTTGTGCTGGTTTTCAACACCGTTCTAAGGCAAGTGTAGCTCTTCAGATGTTAAGAACCAGACTGACAGGATTAAAGCGCCTTGAACGTCATGAAAGCGCGCCGCGCACGTGGTCAAAAGACACGCGTTGCACTACTTGGACTACTTACATTTGCGGGCGCCTGGGTCCTGATCCCTGCCTACTTGTACCTTCAACCCGTCATTCTGCACCACCATCTGGTACCATTCGTTTTCTACGCTGGTCTGATCAACGCCTACTCGGTTGGAAGAATGATCATCTCCCATCTCACAAAGTCACGTTTCCCAAGGGGCAACGTACTCATCTACCCTCTAATCTTCGGAGTCATTGACTCTCTTGGACCCTGGCTGCAAGAAAACTTTGGTGTGGGCTGGCCGAGCGCTTTGGGTAACGACGTTTATCAAGTAGCATTCGTCTTCATGTGTCTGGGACTCGCTATCGGAGTGCATGGAAGCTTCATTGTGGACGTCATCTGGACTATATGTGATTACCTCGACATCTGGTGTCTTACTATCAAGTACCCATATCAGCCAGTGGCTGAGAATGAAGAAAGGAAGAGTCAGTGATGAGGTGGCTGGGGTTTGGATATATAGAAACGCGTAGATACAAGTAAAAATCACTCTCTGTTACTATCGGACGAATGCTACACTAGCCATACATCTTCCATTATCACCCGAGATGAAATATTGGACTAACCATCTCAAGTCAATCTTAATTAGACCTGGAACCTGCGGTACCGGGGGATGGGACCAGCAGGCCTGTCCTTGCACTCTTCCTGTCTCTTCTGGTTCTTCTTGTAGTACTCTTCAAGGGAAGCCGTTACCTTGTCCAGTTCGCTGTAGGGTTGCTCAAGAGCCAGTTCATCGACTCTAGCCTTGATAGATGCTTCCGAAAAGAGGCCCGATCGTCCATTGAGATCAGCAACGTTGAACGGCCTAGCAGACCAGCGTGCATCCTCAGGATCATGGAAGTCAGTTGTCTCGTTGTACCCAAAGTTCTGCAGCTTGGTAACATCGAATGCAGCCATCATGTCCTGGTCTTCGTGGATGAGGTTGTGGCAGTGGAACATGTAGACGCCGTCCCAAGGAGCATAATGCGCCTCCACAAGCACCGTCTCGTGACGACCGAGCCAGACCACATCCTTGAGTCCCGCCTCCTCATACGGCATGACACTGCGCGTGCTCTCAGAACCGTACCGGGCAACAACCCTGAAGTCAACCAAGTGCACGTGGATGGGATGCGACCATCCACCCGACGAGTTCTCCAACTCCCAAAGCTCAACCGTGCCGCGAGGAACCTTTGCCAGGATACGATTCTGCACATCAGCGAACCCGATGCCATTGATACGCCACTCGCTGTTGGTACGGTGGAAGCGGAAGTGGTGATCGATGGTCGTCTTGTCAGCCGGGAACTGGATTGTGGACAGCTGCGCGGGCACCACCGAGTTATCAACCACGGCAGTGCTGCTAACACGGAACCGCATCACCTTATCCGTGTTGGCATAGTCATCATCAGTACCGACACCGTTTGCCTTGGCAAAGTTCTTCAGGTCAATCGCTTGGCCCGCAAAAGGCGCAAAGTCAAATACAATCTCGTAGCGCTCCGCCGCCGCAACGTACATATCGGATGTCTGAACGGGGTGCGTAAGCAATCCCGCGTCCGACGCGATGACTTGAAACGGAAGCCGCGTAGCAGTCGCATCAGCTTTTACAAAGTACAGTGCGAAATTGCGTGACACGGCTGCGTTGAGGAAGCGGAGACGGTACTTGCGCGGCTCGACGGACAGGAAGGGCCAGGGCTGGCCGTTGACGTGGATGATGTCGCCCCAGAGGCTGTTGTCCTCCCCGAGGCTCGACTGTAGGGTGCCATCGGCGTTGTAGTATTTTGAGCTCAGCACGAGGGGGATGTCGTATGTGCCGTAGCCTGAGGGTAGGCCGAGAGCGTCTTCGGCCGGGTCCGTGATTAGGTATGCGCCGGCTTGTCCGAAGTAGGCGTTTTCTGCCGTCTGGTGGGGTTAGTATTTTTGTTGAGGGGATAAAAGGGGGGGGACTTACGAAGTGCATGGCGTGGTCGTGGTACCAAAGGAATCTTGCGGCTTGGTTGTTGGGGTAGTAGTAATCTAGAGGAGAGTTTGTTAGTATGAGAGGGAATTGTCAAGGGGAATGACGGTCCAGTGTTGTACGTACCTTTGTATTGGCCTTGCTGAATCAGATCTTCAGCCCATCCGTCAAATGGAGCACGGGAAGGCGAGCCATGAAGATGGATGGAGCTCTCGCGGTCACCTTGATTGACGAAGCGCACCACGGACTCTGTTCCCCTGGGCACGATGATGGTGGGACCAGGCGAGATGCCATCGTAGCCCACGAGACGAGCAGGACGCAGACTGGGGTAGACCTGCTGAGTGAAGGGCTTGATGACAATCTCGTAGTACCAAATCTCCTTGCCAGTAACAGGGTTTGTGAATTTACTATATCGAATCAGTATTTTGCCAGAGCACTGAGGGTGTGGTGGCGGGGTGGGAGAACTTACTACTTTGGCTGCTTGGCTGGGGGGATGGGCAGTGCCTTGCCAAAGATGAGAGGATACTCTGGACTTTCCCAGTCCTTCGCCATGAGAGTAACTACATCGGCTGGATCATCTTCGACAATAGATGCCAGTGCCACTTTCTCTGCTTCAGGGGTGTCATCGACATATTTGGCGGGTCGCTCAGCAAGAACTTCGACTTGGCCGTAGATGCCTTTGACAAGCGAAGCGAGCTGAAGAGCTGAGAGGAAGTACTTGAAGACCATCTTGAACAATGAAGGTGTTGAGAAGCGGACGCTCAAAGGATGAGTGGTGAGGATACTTCTCGACTGGAAACCTCTACTCTTTATACACATCAGTGGCGAGCCATGGTGTTCTGTCTGGTTAGTTCCTTTCCTCCCACTGCACACCTCATCCCACTTCTCCATCCCCTGAACTCGTCGTTCATCACACGAGGTATGTCGTTATCTTTGGTATGAATCGTGACAAGCTCTCTGCTGACTTGCTTGACCGGCGATTATTTCTTGGAGGCGCCGTTGGGGGCATGAACTATACAGGGGATAGGAATAGTTCAGCTGCAATCCAAGACGGAAGAACATCCTTTCTTGAACTCCCAAGACGCCATGTTTCATTGAAACGTGGTGCCTTTGGCCACACGGACGAAGTCTTTGGCGCTCGAGGACCCTGATCTGGTTGTTCACTGTGTCTTGGCTACTGTGCACATGGCCTTGCCAATACTTCCACCGTATGATTGCGGTATATTCTCGTCTAGGAGGGAGGGTAGACTTGTCTTACTAAGCGTTTACAAACTTATTTCTTGTCGCTTAAGGTGTCCACTACATGATCAATTGTCGCCTGAGGTCTCCACTATCTGGCCTGTTTCTTACCTCGATCGGCCTACCGCCATCTCGATCGTTCATGGGCCACTGAAAAGAAATGAAAGTAGTTCAAGATCGTCATGCGGTTTAGCACTGTATGCAGGTGTCTGTAAGGGGGATCTTCCACCTACTTACACACTGCACGGAAGTGGAAATCGCTCATCCGGTAAGATATAATTGGACAAGCATGTTCCCTGTGCCTATAAGCTCCAAGCATGACAGACTTAGTCAAGATACTTGAAATGACACATGTAGGCATAACGTAGTTTAGGGACTTCTGCGGGCTTGTCATAGACAGGGTTGACACTGAATGAGCTATATCGTACCCCGGACCCTGTGGAGCCCTGATTCTGGAGTGCGTCTACTTTTACTGTAGCTAAAGCAAAAGTCAGGATGTGCTAGCAGGATCCGATGGCCCGTGTTTCAATACTCCTGCCAAGTACGCTGTCCCACAGAATTTTACCCCAATGCTAGTGACTGTCAAGTCCAGACATCCAATCGAACACACACAGCCGGGGCGGGAGGCCAAAGACGGCATCGTGCCGCTCCGCCTACTCGTCGGACTTACTTTACATAGCCTACCTCGAATCACTAACCAAAAGCCACGCTGAAATCTAGCCCACGTGCCCGCTCCTAGTAGTCCGAAGTCTTGTTAGGCCTTGTGTACGGCTTAAGCCCTCAGGATTCCTTGGCGTGCTAAAACGCGGAGAGAAACGCGGAGGCTCCGCACATGCATGAACAACCATGTGTGCGGACCGAGCCCGGCGGGAACCTTCTGGACGACAAGCGAACGGCACCCCCACGCATTATTCCCCGACTCACTTGACGTATCAACTTGCCTTCATTTGCTACAGGAGAGCCGTGCTGTCTGTGCTAATAGTAAACATAGCACTCTTGGAAGCTCATGCTTACGTACTACCACCATCTTAGCAGCCGTTTTAATCGCCTACGTACGTTGGAACGGTTCTTCGCTAAATGCATGGTCGACTACCGTTACTACTATATCGAGCAAGATCGGCACCGCGCACATGGCCGTGGTCTGAGACTACCGTACACTAATACACATGCAGCCTTATGCCGTCAATGTCTCGGGGTACTTTCTCGATTGTCACCAGGGCCTCGGTATATTGGCCTGCGGAACCGCCACCGACATAGACTTTGCATTCGAGCCTCGTGGCCCGCTGGCTTGGCTCAACCTTGGCAGGACGGACCACAGACCGTCCGCTGACTACTATACTGCCCCCAAGAATAGCTATTCTGGGGGCCATTCAGCTATATGCAAGGATTCATTGCAATTAGGGGTGTCCGGTGAAGACCTGGTGGATCCGTCACGTGAATTCTCTGTAAAAGATTATACTCGCATACACGGCGGCCGGGTTCCTTCAGTGACAAGCCCATACTACTGAAAAAAGGAAAAATCTCGGTGAGTAGCAGAATTGAGTATAGCTTCTGGGCAACGACTCCACGAGGTGGTGTTGAGGCAATACTGAGCACTGCTTGGCATGTACTCGACTCCTTTCTGTGAAGGAATCATATGTTCAAGTGTGGATTTGGGCAACTGTTGGGATGAGAGATGGAATATAAAAAGGACATGAAATGACCAGTATTGGAACCATCATCAGTAAATTCAAGGCTTCAAAGTTCCACAGCAGACTTCGCAATGGCGCCCAACAATCTTTTCTTCACGTTGTTTCTCTACGTCCCTCTTCTTCTGTTCATCCGCAACGTCTTTGCACAAGACGCTCCACTGTTCGTTCAGGGAGGCTTCGAAGATGCAACTGCCACCGATGACACCTACAATTCAGGAGGGACTATCACTGTGAATGGCTTCAACATTCAAGTACCCAAGAACCTTCAAGTCCAGTTCCCTGCAGCATGGGTACCTTGGAAGGACTTCACAACCGACAAACAGTCCATGTTGGGCTATGAGATCAACGTATGCTACCCTTGAATCTGAAACTCATATCTCCCATAGCTAATCTCAAGAACAGGTCATTGGAAACTTCATCAACGGCAAGCCGATTGCAGCCCAAGTCATTGCCTACGAGTTCTTTGAGGGACTCAGCAGTGGATTCATTGAGTCTTTGAACTTTGCTGAGGGAACCATGAAGATTGTCTCGGGTCCCACTGTTCGCATCAGTGATCCCAATGCCGTCTTCTCCGTCGGATACACCCAAGCACCTTTCTTTACCGCTGATGATGAAAACCCGAGCATCTCTTCTTTCTCTGGCTTTCCCATGTGTATCCCAAGAAGCACATCTGACCCGCTTTGCCCATCTACCAACCGCCCCTTCCAGGGCTCCGGTACATTGTAAGTCCGATGCACAAGCGTCTCGTGGCGCACTGTTGAATGCATGCTTATCAGTTCACAGTTCCGTCCCAGACCCACTTTCCATGGCACCCTTCCTCGTCGGCGACTTTGTCACTTTCTCAGGCATCCGCCGTGGTAACGAAGTCATTGCCTACAGCATCGTCGCCCAGAATGTCATGATCACCACACTGGGCGATCTCGTCTACCTACGCATGGAACTCGGTCTCCTCGGCATCGACAACATCAGCCCCAACACCGAGCTCGCAGAGTCTCGCGTAAGTTCCCGATATCCTTCACACATGGATGATTCCTGCGCTAACAAGCGAATCTAGTTCGTCGGATTCGCATCCAACCCACGAACCACCGTCGCCCTCTACGCAATGGACACTGACCCTTGTACCGGCAAAGTCACAGACCGCATCATCGCAACCATGGGTCTCCGCGGTGGCCGCAACGAGCAAAACAAATTCGAATACCGATCTGACATTCTCGGTGGCTACGCACGCGAATACCGGGTTGTCGCGGAAATCAACGGTGTGCCCAAGACACGCACGACCAAGAACGGTCTTCTGGCTGGCACTTATGTTCAGCCTATCAACGTCTGGGTCCACGGCGAGCAGGTCGTCCCCGGAACTGCGCCACCAGCCAATGACTTTAGCCAGATGCCATGGTTAACTAACGGCATTGGTGTTGACGAGAACGGCAACTTGTGGGGTCCTTTGGATCCCTTCCCTCAGACGGGTGTGTTCATTGATCCTCCTCAGTGCGGACCTACGAGCTCGTTGATGTTCGAAGGTGACAACTTGAACACTACCTGGACTCCTTCTGGTAAGTCTCCATCCCATCCCCTATCCCTTGTAGCTCTCACGCGATATCAGTGCTAACGGATTTACTTTCGCTTTAGCCGAACTGTTGAATGCAACCGCACCTGCTGATACCGTGCCTCCCCCGAGCAACGTCACCGCCCGAGGTGTAGCTCCTAGCGAGATTGTCCCTGCTCGCACGAAGCGCGGGGTCCCGAATGTTCGCTGGCTCTCGAGAGCGAGATTGGAGAGTGAGACTATTCCTCAAGGTGACACTGTCATTGCCAAGGTAGACTAAGGAGAGATGACATGGGCATCTAGAGGGTAGTACGAGTTGATCAGATGAAAGGTTCTAGCATTGCTCGCCAAGTGGGCAACTTGAGCTTGTAATCATCCAATTCTCTTTAATTTCTTATGTACCATTTCAGTAATCTGTAGTCCAATCGCACTCTTTTACCTCCCCTCCCCTAGTCTCGAAGCCTTTAGTAAATATCCCATACCGTTATTCTTATTGCTGTTTTTTTTTTCGTACAGCAGCCAAGTTTCCGAGGCGAGGGTGAAAATATCAGAGGCTAGAGGTATGGATAGTATTGTGCTGAATGTATATCCTTCATGGAGTTAACTATCCAACCCATTCTCGCCTACGTACCCTCCTATATCCGCAAGTAATTCAACCATTCTAGTAGCCCACACCGCCCCTGCACCATGCTGCTCAAGACGCCCCAGCTCGTCACTCGTCAAGAGCGCCATTCCCCACCCCCCCCCCATCTCCACCGAAAACTCACCAACGGCATCGCGCAAAGCCATTGTTCCATTCGATAAGCATTCTTCGATGAGTTTACAAGTCTTTCAGCATGTATATTTTACTTCGCATATCTGACTCCTTGCCTCTTAAAATCACGAAACGGCAATCTTTCCATCATGACCTCTAGTATATCCCTGTACAGAAATACCAAGAGGAATGAATAGTGTCAGATAGGTACAATGTGAAAATGATGATAGTGTGTATGTAGATAGTCATCTGAAAGCTTGATTCTCGGTATTAAGAATGCTGGACTTAAGGCGCGCCATGTCCCCTCGTCAGATATGAGGGACGCGATGCGCATAATGGCATTCTACAAATCCGAACTGAATGAAGATGGGGTTTGCATGGATTTGCTGAGAAAAGTGCAAGATTTGAAGAATATTTCATATAAAAGAGTGGTATGTTTTTTTTAATTTGCTCCATGTATTCCTACTCGCCCCTTTCCTTGTCCATTTCGCTTGACGATTCGACACCTCAATCCCCCCCAACTTCTTGCTTCCCACCTGACCTTCCCTTCAACGAAATTCTGACGCTTTCGCTTGCAATACTTGCTTCCCTGGCTTTAAAAGAAAGTTCCCTTGTGGCCGGCCTGGACAGTGCTGTCGTCCAGCACAGCATCAGAATCGTGGTTATCGAACGCACCGGGTCGGTCGAAAGACCGGGGAATAGGTCGGTCAAAGGCATCAAAGCGACGGCCCTGAACCCTGGCCTTTGCCCAAAAGAAGCCGATGCGAAGGGCACAAGCGCCAAAAGCCCAGAGAAGGCCACCAACCGGCGCAGCTACGAAAGCACCTGTGAGTTGGTTAGCAAACAATCATGGTTTCAAAGGAACAAGCATCAACTTACCAAATGCGCTCCAGTCATTCGCATACAATCCGCCTTCAAGCAAGAGCAGTTTACTAGCGAGCGTGGCATCGCCGTCATAGTACACGAGTCCAAACAAGAAGATTGTAAAGATACCGCCAAGTCCGCCAACCACAAAGTCGAATCCACGGTACCAGTAGAATCTCTCACTCAGACCAATGACCAGGCAAGGAACAACAGCTGCACTGACCAAATCACTGATCAGGAAGATCTGCAGGATATCCGGGCTGCGTAGTGCAACAACAACGACAGGAAAAATGAGCGCTACAACCATACCACGGATGACCCAGATGTTGAGCTTGTTGCGGAAGAAGTCGTTGCTTCCTGTGCTAATCATGGCGGACTGGAAAGAATCAAACGCAGCGGTAGATAGCGAGACAGTCATGACGAGGACCACACCTACAACCCAAGCGGGTAGTTTTTCGAGGAGAAGGAAGAAAGCAAGGGAGCCATTGGCTGAGTCGCCAATCGTGTAGGCACCAGACCAGGCGGCAAGCATACCACCGACACCGAGCAGCGTGAGAATGATAAGGATGCCCATGCTGGCAAGCGAGACTCCAATCCACAGGTCCTTGTCTGTACGAGAGGCAAATGTGCGCATCCAGAATCCAGAGAGGAAAAAGTCATTGGTAAGGATAGCGACGGGGAGGATGTAAATGAGTTGCCATCCCAACAAGCTGGGCTTGAGGTAGCCGGACTGATCAATCAACGAGCGGTCAATGTCGGTTTCTACACCAACAGCAATCACTCCCAGGATGATGAGGCCAATGACCATGGCGCCCTGGATGTTGTCGGTGACGAAAGAGACTTTGAAGCCACCAAGTGCTGTGTTATGGGTCAGCCTCCCCTCTCATCTCAATACTACGGTGATCTTACAGGTATAGATGGTAGTAATGGCACACTCAACAATGACCACTGGAAGCCCATTCAGTCCAGTCAGGAGAGTGACAATCTGCTGGAGTGCCGAAAGCTCAGCAACCATGTATAGAAACATGGTGATGAGCGTGCAAAGACTGAGGAATATTCCGGCAACAGCTCCATACCGTTGTCTGGTCCATTCGGTCAAGACAAAGCCCTCTGGACATTTGCGCCTGATAATGGGGCCCAGCGCGCCAAAGACTAAAAGCGGCAGAGATGAAGACAGCGCATATACCAGTAGTCCCTGCACACCAGCGATTGTGGCAATTTGAGGGTACGTGAACAAGATACCCGATCCGAGAGCTGTAAGTTAGGGAAGCCTAGGTCAGCTTTATGCATCAGCCAAAAGGGGGGGTATTGTGTAGGGGGAGTAGCGGCAGCACGTTCCTCACGCAAGTATTATCTTGATCGAGTTCTTACGGTACTTCTCAGCTTTCCCTTGGTTGGAGTCAACACATCCTAGATAAGAAGATCTTTGATGCAACAACCCCAGCCTCGGTTCCGCGCCCGCAGTGTAGCCGCACAAAAGACTGACCTCATACCAACTGCGCAACGAGTAGTGGGCTCTTGGGCACAGCAGTCATGAGATCAGGCTTCCGTGAGAGATCTCAATACGAACCTGGAGGATTTCAAGTTTTCTCGTGCGAAAACACACATGCTCCAACGACGTCATCATACTGTCATTGGAGAGCCGTCATGATGGTGGATTATCGATACTGCCGCTGCTCTTCATGTGCAAAGCACAGGTGCACGAGTGCACTCACCCGATGCGATGAAATTGAAAGCGAGCGGAATGCCTGCACGGCGGTTAGCTGGTTTGTTGCAAGTAAAAGTAGCGGAGGTTGCTTTGCGCGGTTGCGCAAAGTTGGGGAAGTCGCATGCGCTGACCCTTTTGTGTGCGATTGCTAGACAGCCACTCAGTCTTGGACTGGTGTCGCAACCGCCATGCGACGAAGCATCCCAGGACCCTGGTTTGTGAAATTAGTATGATTCGCAACCCACAAGGGCCATTTCCTGCACTCACAAAAAGGCGCCTAGAGTAAGGTATATGATGGCGTTGGACGCCGGCTGCGATGGCATACCCATGACGGAAAACGGTCACTATGCGAAACGGCGATCAAAGTCAAAGATGGATAGATTGAAGATGCAGAGCGACGGGGTTAGGAACATGCAAGACCAAGGTAGTTTGCGCCAAAAACTTTGCTATGACTAAATCCCGCGCCTTTCTCATTGCATCGCTAGCGCTGCGCGGAGAAATTGACGGCTGCTGTCAGTTTCCTTTGCAATTGGTTCTGGCCGGCTCTCTCCGCGCCCACAGACGTGGGGGGGCTCATGGGGTGATGGGCAAGTGCGCATAGAGCATGTATTAGGGCTACTTGAAGTCGATACGAGCTACACAAGCTAGGAAGTATCATCTGCGCAAAGACAGCAAAGGAGTCTGGCGCATTCTCGGATTACTCGTCATATTCTCCCATTGCTTTAAATCGAGTAAGAAACAGTTTCCCAAACGCCTCGTCGCTCCGTAACGCAGAAAATGCGGCAAACCAAAATGAGGACATTATCCATTATTGCTTCAGATTGCCCGTTTGAATTTGTCTGTAGCAAAACATGGTATTCGTCGATGATTACTGGCCGGCAAGACCTGCTCAGACACGTCTACCACGCATGTCTGTCCCAGTTTGGGTCTGCCAGGTGTCAGTCGTCGCTCTTATCACACATGTGCTATTGAACTCACCCTGCACAAATGCCGCAAGCACCTTGCTGCCAGTCTGCAATAGTGGGTGGCCAACTACTATTTGCAGAAACCGTTGGAGTCCCTCCCGCCGATGCTCAATCACGTCGTCCGAGAAGCGGTTGGTAAGGACCTTGCCCGGCAGAGGTGGTATGGTGACGCGCGCCGACTCTCGCTCAAGAATATCACGGAAGGCTTCAAATTCGCTGTATCGGCGGCGGACTGTCGACGACTTGAGCTTGAAGGCGGGAATGTTGGTGCGCATTACAATTTCGTAGGTTGTGTACATGCCACGGCCGACTCCTAAAGTTCTGTCAGCATGCACACTCTTACAATATCTACGCGCCTAGACTTACCGTGCGTCATGGGATTCCTAACCTGTGCACGCGACAAATGTGAGTGAGGCTGCAATCACACAAGGGTATGGAAGCTCCAGATCAGCCTACCTCAATCTCCAGGAAGTTTTCGGGAGGGCCGTATAGCTCCTCAAAGCTCTGCGATCGCGCGTCGGGTAGCGACTGCATCTTGGGCGTAGATGAGGATGTGAATGTGGAATTAGGACGAAGGTTGGTTGCGCAAGAGCTGGAGATCGATGGCGGGGCTATCGCGAACTAATGGCCCGGCGCACTGGTTGCTCTTGGTCTGGCGAGCTGTTGGCAATGCACGTGCATGCAACCGCCCTGCATGAACATCAGCCAAACCTGCCACATAGTGGGTGATGCAATCCAAGTCAGCTCCGGTGGCTTGAATAGACCTATCGAGTTCATATTCACTCTACTTGTTGTTGCGGAACTTGCTATAGGCATGTCAGTTGTTCTTGTTTGTACATATAATCTTATATAGTAGCAAACCATTACCATAAACCATTGCTATGTAGGTTCATCACTCATTGACGCAATTTTGCCATATGAAAAATAATAAACGGTGAAACAATCTTTGCTTGACTTCGGATTTCGTAATTCAGCAGTCTAGAAGAGCACCCCAAAAAAAGTGAAATGTAATAATACACTGGCAACATGATGTGACATCATCCGATCTCTAATCGCCATCCCTTGTCACAACATGCCTAGCATGAACCCCGGCCATGTCAGCGAGGTCCAATGACGATAACACTGAGCAGACTGATCAAGGACAAAGGTGCAAAGTCTTGAAGAAACAGTGCAAATGCATTGAAGAACCAGACAAAACAAAACTACATACTGTGGGCGCATGTTCGTGACCGCTCACTCTAAGAAGCACAAACTCCCGGTCCATGCCATGATATCCGTCCTGTACCCGCTTTTGACCAGTCGTCAATCATAACGAGCGTAGAAACAAAACGAACGCCTAGCCTTTTCCCATCCTCCTCTACTGGCGATCCCTCAAGTGACGAGGTACGTACTTACCAGTGGATGCGGCTGGAGCCTGAGCAGCAGGCCTCGACTCACGCTCACCTTCGCCCTCACGGGCTGGCGCATCACGGCGAGCGCCAGGGGGGACGTAACCACCAGTGGTGGCAGGAGAGGCCTTCCTGTCTCCCCATCGGTCTCCGCCGCGAGAAGCTTCAAATCGGCCGCTACCACCGGCATTGCCACTACCACTACCGCTACCGCTTGCCTCACGCTCGCGCCATCCGCCACCTGGAGCACCACCTTGACGCAGCGCCGGTGGGACATATCCACCCCTCTTGGGCGCTTCCGCCTCGGGGGCGGGAGAAGCTGCTGCTGCAGGTGCAGGGGATGTGCTGGCAGCAGGAGGTCCTTGACCAGCGGCCTTCATGGCCTCACGCTCACGCCAGCTGGGCTTGCCGCCAGGAAGTTGGATCTTTGGTGGACCACTGGAAGAAGGAGCGTCGGCAGCCGGCTCGCGAGAGAAGGTCCGGCCAGAACCAGCGCCAGCGGCAGCTCTTCGCTTGGCCATGGCCTCTTCCTCACGCTGTGCCTGAAGGCGAGCCTTCTCAGCAAGAGCACTGCGACATGTTAGTATGTGATTGTGAGAAGGACATGGTAATACTGACTTTCGCTCTTCATCTCTCTTCGCCTTCTCTTCGGCCAACCGTGCGCGCCTCTCCTCATCAGCCTTGGCCTTGGCCTCGGCTTCGGCCCTCTCACGCTCCTCTTCTTCGCGCTGGCGGCGTTCAGCCTCTTCGCGCTCCCTCTTCTCCCTAGCAATGCGTTCCTTGACCTCCTTGACACGTGCGGCCTTCTTGCTTTCAAGCTCCTTCTGTGCAATCTTCTGGCGCTTTTCAAACTCGGCCTTGCGCTGCTGCTTGACAGTAGCAACGAATTGCTGGTAAGGGGATACCAATCTTGACAGACGGTGCTTGAGCGCAACGTCTTCCTTGTGCTTTTCTTCGGCCTCCCTGAGCTCTTCGGCCTTTGCCTTCTCGTAAGCTGCGAGATCCTCCTCTTGTTGCTTTTCGTAATCAGTCTTGAGGTGTTTGATCTCCTCCTTACGGTAAGCGCGCTCCAAGTGATCGATACGCTTGCCGGCAATGCGGAGCTGTTCGCCAAGCTGGTTCTTCTCCCTCTCAAGAGCCTGCAGCTTGAGGATACGGATCCTCTGGGAATCAAGATCATCGAGATCTTCTGGAAGCTCAATGTCAACCTTTGTGGTAGCCTTGAGTTCCTTGATCTGCTTCTCCATTTCCTCACGTTGAATGCGCTTCTGCTCAGCCTTGATGCGCTGCTCAGCACGTTGCTTCTGCTCCTCGGCAAGGCGGCGAGCTTCCTCATCCTTGAGCTGTTGCTGGCGAATGAGCCTCTTTGTTTGCTCTTCGTTCTCCTTGGCTTGCTGGGCCTTGAGGGCAGCTTCCTTCTTCTGCGAGATGATGTCGCGACGGCTGAGAATCTCTTGGTGTTCCTTCTCAGCGCCTTCCTTTGCACGGGCAAGCGCAGCATCCTTTGCGCGCAGACGATCTCCGTTGAACGAAGGGTCGACATATTGGCAGGTCACGAACAGGGACTTGGCAAGACGGGTAAGCTGAGAGCGCACAATCTCAGCAGGGGTGCTCTGTAGACGCTGCACGGAGCGAGATTCCGTCTCGGCTGATCCCGCACCAGAACCAGGGTGCATGGCCTTTGCTGACGAGAAGACGTCGGAATCGAAAGTGAGGACCCCGGTAGCGTGGTCAGTGCGGATAGCGAGATCGCCCTTCTTGCAGCCGTTCATGATGAACTTTTCAATGGTACCAGCACTGACATGGAAGGGCTCGGGGAACTGGGCGAGGCCAAGCACAAACTTGATCTCGACAGAGTCGTATACTTGAGACAACTGCTGGAAGAGACGGGTGAGGATGACCTGCTGGAGCGGGCCAACATACTTTTGCATGCCCTCGTCAGCACCGATCTGAGACAGGATCGGTGAGATCTTCTTGCAAATGGAGAGAGGGTGGAAGTCGACCTCGAGGATGTTGTAGAGATCGCGAATCTCGGGACGCACGCGCTTGAGAAGACCCTTGCTGAGAGCATCCTTGAACAAGATAGCACGAGTAGGAGCCTGTGACATGCCGAGCAAGTTGGTAAGACGGGAGTTCTTGTTCTTCCTGGCCTCGTCAACGTCGACAAGGGCGCCACGGGAGCGCGAGGTGCTGATGACGGGAATGGCAAGGGCTGATAGCAAGACAAACGAGGCAGCCTTGGTCATGTCGGCTTCCGTGACGGCTGGGTTGTCCTTCTTGGGGCTCTGTCCAGAGGCAACGGCAGCTGCAGACTGTCGGAGGAGGTTGTAGTAGCGGCTGTATGCAGCAGCGTGGAAGAGATAGTTCTCGCTGACGAGGAAGATGCGGGTCAGCTTCTCAAAGTAGTTGGCCATCATGATGTTCTTGGCTGGTCGCTTGCTCAAGCTGAGGAGCGTGTGGATGTCCTCGACGCTGCGGAAGGCCTCTTGCCAGAGCTCAAGCTCGACAGCCACATTGAGTTGCTGGAAGCGGGTGTCGAGGTGGCGCTGCAGAGTGTCGGGGTCGGACAGGTTGATGGCGTGCATCTGGGAGGAGAACTTTGCGGCATTCTGGAGATGGTTGCGGAGCAGCTCGCAGAGACGGCGGAACTCGGTCTTGCGGGCATACTTGGAGCAGAACTGGAAGGCCTGGTGGGCAGTCGACTGGTACATGAGTTCCAGACGGGCATTGTTCTTGAAGATGTCGAGGACAGTGCGGTATGTCTCCCACAGGAACTTGAGCCATGGCGTGACAATGGCACGGTCGGTGCGGTCGCGCGACTGCTCGCCGGAGACGGTGGACAGAAGGATGGACTCTGGCGTCTCGGTGGCCTCGAGGTCGTCGACGTTCTTGTCGTCAGAGGGCTCAAGCGAGGACTGGACCTCGTCGGCCTTTGCCTGGGCCTCTGTGACTTTTTGCTCGGCAAGCTCAATGAAGCGCTTGAAGACGGTCTCGATTGTGCCGACGTTTGTGTTCTGGGCCGTGTTCTTGTACTGGTACAGGCCGTCCTTTGCGAGTTTGCCCTTGCGCAGATCGACGCAGAGCTCGACGAAGAGGATCATGACGGGCTCGAGCGAGGTGATGGGGCTGTTGCGGGTGCGCTTCGAGGTGACATGTTCGTGGAGCAGCTGGAGGGCGGCCTGGTGCTGGTCGACGCCGATGAGTTCCTGGGCTCGTTTACTGCGTGGTATTAGCTGGGGCAGCCTCTGCAGCGAGTCTGAGGCGGGGCGCACAGAGTGTTCTCCGGCTTGGAGTGGGGTGGAGGCGCCATGCTGGGCAGGTCGATGTCACAGATCCCAGGGCAACGGGCTGTATGGGCTTTTCAGCAAGCAGGCGACGCAGCCGGGAGCGTTGGAGGGTGGGATGGCGGTGCGGGTCTCACAGGCTGCGATGCAAAGTCACCGCTTGCAAAATGGTTGTGGTAGGCTGAGGTAAGCGAGCACCCGCCAGTGATGTGCCGGCACCTCAGCAGGGCCGTCGTCCCCGCACATGCAAGGCGACGCTGCTCAGCGAACGGCTCCGCGCGGCCCTGGCGTGGCGAGGGACTCTATCACACAGACGCGGGGAGCGAGCCCCTTGGACGCAGCGGGCGGACGAGCCATGCGCAGTGCAGTGCATGGGACGGACGCGATGCAGCGGGCGTTGTTGTTGTTGTTTGTTGTGTTGTTTGGTGGGAGGAGTAGATAATCGGTGCTAGTCCGAATTGCCCGTAGCAGTGCTAGCAAGACGACTACTGCTTGATTAGTGGCGGTGCAGACACAGACAGGCGGGCAAGCGAGGGCGAGGCATCCGAGTCGGCGAGGCGGGACAATGCACCAGGCAGGCCAAGCAGCAAGGGCGGGCAGGGCAGGCAGGCAGGCTCTAGCCCCGTACTCAAACCTAATATGGCGCTATGCCGCAACCGAACAGCGCCCGACGAACAGGCCCATCAAGGGGATGGCCGGCCCATCTTCCAACCACCTCTCCTGGCATCCCGTGCTTCACCTGTCGCCCATCTCTGCACCCTCTTCGTCAACCCTCGACACCGCACTCGCCGTTGCAGTCGCCGTCGCAGCATCTCCAGCATCCACATTGCGCTGATATCTGGCGGCAGGCTCACACCCGGCT